TAAATGACAAAGACAACCAGAGGTCAGTCCCTTCTGACTCCAAGAAAATAGATGGGAGTCATCATAGCAAGTGCTGAAGGTATGTGGAGAATTTCTGTTTCTCAGTCTGATAATGGAGAATATCAGGAGGCCCTTGGAATTATCAGACTTTAGAAGCTGTTGTGGGCTCAATTTCAACCTTTCTTTGGGAGTTGGGGTAGAGGGTGAGATCAGGACTTCCCCCTGAGAACAGAAAATGACTGGACAGCTCCCATGCAGACTGAATTCAGGGACAAGAGTGTCTTGTCAACCCCTTAACAAATAGAGAATAATTTAGGAATTAAATACAGGTTACAGCTGCCTTCCTTAGAAGACCGATAAATTATGTGCCCTGGAGCTGAAATTTTTTCAAAATAAAAATCAAGCTTATTAGTCTGAAGAGACAAGGCAACACAATGACCATGTACCCAGTGAGTCCTCAAACAGGATTTGAGCTTCAAACATAAAGGATTCTGATCAGACAGAGCTATAGCTTCTTTTGAAAGAGCTACAGTTAGCCATCAGGTACAGAGGACTCTATGCCTTAAAAGACTGTGAGTTCCCTGGACCGTGGTACAGAACAAGAGCATCTCTGACAAAAAAAAAGATTGCATTTTGCCTATAATCCAAGCACCAGCCTTCTCTGCTGAAGGTGTCACTTTCCTCCAGTATAAATTGGGAAAGATATGCTGTGCCTTACAAGAATTGTCCATGCAGCCCTTCTGGCTCACAAGTCCCTCACCTCTTCTCACAGCTACTTCAAAGTCTACCCTCCCTCCCTACTGCACAACAGAACTCCCTGCATCTTGGACCTCAGTGAGTGGAAAGGATTCCAGGTGTTAGTTGGCCAGTGAACACAAAGCAGCTAAACTTCTATTTTTTTCATTTTCCACACAAGCATCACATGGGACAGTTAATGGATTTTGCTGAAAGGTTGAAGAACTTAATGTGATTATAGTATAAAGGAAAAATTTTTTGTGAAATGGGAACTTTCATCAGGCTCTCCTCACAGGTCAAGAGGAAAGCATTAAAAACCAAATAAACCAAAAAAAAACCTTCAAAAGATGTCAGTCCCTTCTTTTCCACACTCAGTCTCTCTCTTTGATAGCCACATCTAAGAATACCATCCCTTCCCCCAAGAGACTGTATTCTCAGAATGTGAGGACTACCCTCCTTTTTAGAGAAGTCCCATTCACGACCACAGGCTTTGATCAGACTGGAGGATCCACCCCTCCCCCAACCAAGGGATGCAGTAATCCCCAACAGTCCATTCCCTGACATGCGAGTTGCTCCTTCCAGACCTACACCACGTGAGGGCTTCAGCACGACGGCCGTGGGTGGGCTTTGGTGTTCCAAGTCCCCTCTCTTCTCGGCTTCCCTGCCAGTGTGAGGTATGGCTGAAGATTTATTTCTGGTTGTCCAGCAGATCAACACTGATACACGCTTGCATGCTCACGTGTGTGCATACAGCTCTTGGGGACATCCACTAGTTTTAGACAGTGCGGTGGACATCCTCACTGGGAAGGGGAAAGATGTCCTTAGAAGCAGCATAATTAGCATTGGGCATAGTTCTTTATGTTTTCATATAGAACAGCATCAGACTCTTCTCATCCCCAATTTTGTGCGGATCTGGAAACTAACTGTATTTTTTTAAAGTGGGATTTTATTACAGAGTTATCTGCCCATACCTGAGCCTGGAATTCTGCTTTCCCCAACACTACACATAGCAAAGTGGAAAAGCAGTTTTATGATCCTCTAATCCTAGGGGCAGACGGAAGGAATTCTCTTTTCCAGCCACAACTATGTGACTATGTGATGAAGTAAGAGAGCCTTGCCCTCAGACATAAACAGGCTGGGAGGTGGGCAGGACCCAGGCCAGAAGATGGCGCACTCTACTAAGACATGCCAAGTCTGGGGTTCATGTTCTCAGGAAGAAATGTATTTACTTAGGAAATTTATTTGCCTTCCTTCAGGAAATCGGAACAGATGCATCATCCTTAGTGCCTTTCCTGTTGCTATGAACTCTACTAAGGTTGCCATCATTCAACGACAGTGATTATCTGTTTAACAGACACTTCTTGCAACCCTGTCCCCTCCCCTCCCTGAGCCTGTGAAACTGGAACTGTGTTTCTCGTCTGTATCCCCGGAGTCCACATGGTACCTGGCATGCAGGCTGTTGGAATGCTGAGTGCCCGGGCTGGGCTGGATTAGAGCAGAAAGCTGCTGGCATCTGCTACAGTCCAGATGTGAAATCCGGATCATAAGGCCAGAGTTCTTTCTAGAGAGGAGACAGAGGAGGAAGGCACTGTGGGCCTGGCCTGAAAGAAGCCCTCGGCTAGATGAGTGTATTCTGATTAGTTGTTTGTCTGTCCGACTTCCCCTTTGTTACAAGTCTCTCTGGGGATGACCTGGCTTTGTCATCCCTGTGTCCCTGGAGCACCTCCTGTAGCTGTTCAGCTCCCATGAGCACCTGGTGGGACTGTCAGAAGCAGCAGAGACACCAAATTCCTCAGGTAGGATCATTCCTAATCTGGAGAAGGTAACCAGGGGAAGTTGGGCTGCTGTCAGGGCCTCACCCCTGGGTTCCTTCAGGCTCAAATGACTTTAACCCAGTTTCACTCTGAGCCCAGAGGACAGTCTCCTGGTCACACTGGGCCTTGGAGACTTTCTGACTGGATTTCCTCCCGGTCTCCTCACCTCTTTGGTGGACACTGTTTTCTTTTCCAATACTTCCGGTGACACGGCCTCGGGACAGGACGTGGCCAGGACTTCCTAAACCCTGGGGGCAAAAGCCTTCCCTCTTTCACTTTCCCCTTTTGAGTTGTTTATTCTGTGACCCCAACAGACTTTCCCTCCTCTGGACTGAGGGTCAGTCACTGTGTTCGATTTCTTGACTCCTACGAACAAAGGCATCTGGGAACTCTGAGAGGGTGGTCGCAGGCCCCGAGCTGCACAGGCCTGGAGCGTGAGCAGTCACCTCACCTGGCACTTCCCTCCCCGAGGAGCTGTGGCTCATCCAGCTGTGTCTTGAGGCATTGGGCCACGTGGGCTCCACTTTCCCTGCCTGCTCCAACCCTCCAGGATTCCAGGTCACTCAGAACGTGATCTCCTTGGCCCCCCAAATGATCCTAGACCAGGGGCTGGCGAACCTTTTCTGTAAAGGGCCAGGTAGCAAATATGTAGGCTTGGTGGATGATAAGGTCTTTGTCTCCATCACTCAAGTCAGCGCTTGCAACGTGGAAATAGCTGTAGACAGTTACTTAAAAGAGCATGCCTGTATTCCAATAAATTTGGTGGACACTAAAATTTGAATTTCATGTCATCTCTGTGTGTCATGAAATATTATTATTTTGATTTTTTTCTTTAAAAAAAGTTTTTTGCAGGGGGAGATAATTAAATGTTTATTTTTAGTTTTTTTTCGATGAAGGTACTGGGGATTGAACCCAGGGCCTCATGCATGCTAAGCACACACTCTACCACTGAGCTATGTCCTCCCCACCATTTTGGTTTTTTAAGTTAAAACATGTAAAAATTTCCACTATTCAGTGTGGTGTTGTTGACTGTTGTCATCTTTCTGGCCATTCCATGTCTAGACTTATTCAGCCCACATTTAAAAAAAAGGGGGGGGGGAGTGCATCCTTGGCTTGAGGTCTACATAACAAGAGAGAAGCCATAGCTTGCTGACAGCTGCCCTAGAACTCCAGGTGGGAGAGGTGAGGAGTGCAAATCCTTTCTTAACAACCTGCAGTGGGACCCCAAGCAAACTCAAGTTCTGATGTCTCGGGAGGTCTCCATTTCCTCATCTGCATGATGGAACTATTCTCTGTCTTGATGAAAATAGAAATAGTACTCAGCAGTGCTTAGCAAAAAGCAGAAACTCAATAAATGGGCCTTCTTTTTGTGGTCAAGTTTCAGCCTGAAGTGGGCACTTGACACGCAAGGACAGAAGCAGCTTTCTCTCAGCATCGCCGTGGTGACTATTTCCAGGGCTCAGGATACAGGCGTCTGTGTAAACTAGTCAAACATCGAATGGTGAAGTGAGGACATGCTCCCTCAGGAGATTTGGTGGCTTTGGGATAGCTGGCCTCACACAGCTCAGCTAAGCCAGTTTTGAACTTGAATGTGAAACGTTTGCTCCTGTTTTCCCTGGAGGGGAAGAGGGCAGAGCCCAAAAGGTGATGCCAGCCCACAACAGAAGCCCAGCCCTGTCCACTTAGAGATGGGGCCCAAGGGCTAGAAGAGCACATGCTGCTGACGCTTTGGCCGTGGTTAAAGACAGGTAACTGTCCCCTGTGAGTGACATTTTCCATAGGGAGGGGCGCAGGGCACCCCTCCAAAAACAAGGGAAGTGAACCTTGGGAGGGAACACTGGGGGTCATTTATGTGAACTTTCCCTTAGAGTCTCTCCTTCCAGAAGGCTTTTTGTTCGTAACAAACCCGGAAGGCTGGGAGGGCTTTTGTTTGTTTGACCTAATTTGTTTTAGTTACTTAAAAAAAATCGTAATACAGTTTTTAAAGGTACTCATCTGGGCAGTCCCGAACCCAGTGTGAATTCACATCATGCTCCAGAAGTGAAGACTTCACCCTCTGGGAGATCAGTGGGGCAGGGCTGGGGAGGTGGGTGGTGGCATGGGGGGGAGGGAATCAAGGAAGTGGCCTTGTTCATATGCTCAGCTGAAGGTGACCGCTGCCAAGGCAAAGGTGGCAGCTTTCAGCACTAGGGACAGGAAATTCAGACAATGTTCTTTGGGTAAATGCCATGGTCTCTCCAAAATACGGGAGTTTCAGGGTGAAGGAATCAGAGGTGTCCCATCCTCTGCAGGAGAAGGGGCACCGGGACTCCTGGGTGCCAGGCAAGGTGGCGGCAGCAGGAATCCAGGCGAGAGACCCTCGTGAGGGGACAAACACTGGTCTCCCAGCGAGAGGTTTTCCAGGAAGACAGGAAATTTTTAGTGCACCCATTATGAAACTACAGACACAAATTTCTGAAAGGTAGTACCATTTTATTTAGTGTTGTAGGAAATTTTAGGTTACTTCTTAAAGACAAAACCAAAGAAATTCAAAATTCCCCAAGTAACAAAGCAGGAAATAATAATTCTATAATCCAAAAATGCTGGGTGGGCTTTCAATCAGAAGGAGGAAGAAGTCAAGTTAGTAGCTCACATAATAGACAGGCGCAATCACAGGGTTGAGGTTGATACGAATACTAGCAGGTTAAGCGCTCCACCTAAGGCAACAGATCTTTCACAGCCTTGAGGGATCATTGCTGAGTAGTTCTAAAAAAGGAAAAAAGGCTGATGGGGAGAAGGCGCCCAGGGAAGGAAGATCTGTATCCTTTAACATTAAATCGCCTTTGGTCTTCAATCCAGCCTGTGGCTGAGTGTCGTGGCTCCTCCTCCCTCTATGCCCTTCTGAGCCCCCACTGTTAGCAAAGCTGTATCCCATTTACGTATCCCATTCACCACGCACACACCCCTCCACCCGGGGTCATGGTTGTTCACCTGTCTGTATGGCAAATGGCAGACTTCCGTGCACCTCCATTCTGCTACCCAAGGAGGTTGACATTCAGGAAATAAAAGGGGTGGGCGGGACATCTGCCAAAGTCCAAGGACTGAGATGATATGAAAACAACCGGGCAAAGGATTGACATGTTTTCAGCAAGCTGGCCTCTAACTGAAGTTCGCTGCAAGGTATTTGGTATTTCATCAGATATGTCCCTGAAGTTCTGACTGCTCTTCCCGGAGGGCAGCCAGGCAAGGCCGAGAGCAAGCTGCTCCTGCTTCTCCAGAGCATAGCCCCCTCCCAGGGCCCATCAGTTCCATGAGCACTAACAGCAGCTAGAGGCAAATCTGGGCTCTCCCTGTGCAGACAGATGGGTGTAAGCCCTCAGCCCCACGCCAGCTGCAGGAGCTCCAGCCCTCCAACCCACCAGCCCCTGCTACTGGCTCCGAGCAGGCTCCAGCTTTCCCAGGTGAGTTCTCCCTCACAGTAGAGTCCTCAAGGACAGCTGTTACCCAGTGGCCTCCAGGTGACCCACTCTGAGAGGTGTCAGAATGCTACATGTTGAATTTTTTTTTTCCAGCAGTGGTAGAAACTGAACACCCTCGAAGTAAATTGTCCTTCATTCTCCAGTTCTCAAGTGGTATCTCAGAGCAGAGACGTTTGCCTCCACCCGATGTCCCTCTCAAACCTGGACTGAGTCCCACACCCGAGGTCCTAGCAGCACATCTCTCCACAGCCACCACCTCTTGGGAAGAACTTGGGCCTTCACACCAGCTCTTCCCAGGAGAAACTGCTCAGCACACCTGCCCCCCCAGTGCCTTGGGTTATCACAGTCAAAATACATTTACATCAAGTAAAAAACACATTGCAGGGCAGATATATACACATACATTTTCAGAATTCAAGAGAATACACGGCTCTCTTTATAGAGATGTAAATAAATTTCACAGCACTACAAAAAAAACAAGTCATCTGAGAAGTTTACAGTGGTCCCCAGGACTGGAGGAGAGTATTAAATAAAACAGCTATATTAAAAGCTAATTAAAAGCTCATCAGGTAAATCAAGTTCAGTATCATCCTTCAGATTAAAGTGCTCTGATATTAACTCACGTGGCAGCCAATGGGATCCTGAAAAGGGATTCCACTGCCAATAATCTTGCTTCTTAACTTCAGTATAACAAGAACGAACACAGAAGAGAGTCCCAATTGAATTACCGCTGTTATCTCAGCCCTGCCCACCCCCTTGGCCAGTGATACCTGTCCCCCATGGGGGATGTTGAGATTTGATGAGATTCTGTCAAAACTGGGAGGGAAAAAATGAGTAATGCAGAAACATGGTATTTTCAGGTTACTAATCAGTATCAGGTTACTAACAGTGAGATTACCTGAAGAGTCTGCACAGGTGCTATTAGTTAAGAAGGGCAAGTGTCCTAATTAAATATATATAATATATATATGTGCTAATCTAGTTTTCAAAATATAGCGATCTGAAAATAAGTATCTTCTTGCTCTTCACAATTTTATAACAAGGCAGGGAAATGCTGGGAAGAGCTGCTAAGGAAACCAGGGATTCCAGTGAAGGCACAGGGAGGGAAGGGCCGCAGGGGTCCTGCTGAAATCAGGTGGAACCACTTTAGTAACTGCTTGGGTCACCCGGTCCCTTATCAAGGCACTGACCTGGCCACCCTGGCCGGCAGGGACCCTGCTATTGCAAAAAGAGGGACTCTGAGCGCCTTCCCCAGCTGCAAAGTGACTCTAACCCCCCTGGTCTCCCTTCTGTACCTCCATGACAGGCCCTCTGGATTGACAGAGAATGGGTTTTAAGGCTACAGAGTAGTGGCAGCTGATGTTTGCAAAAGGCAGCTTGTTCCAAATTTAAAAGGCACATCAGAGGTGCTCCCTAAACGCCTCTGCTCCAGTCAAAACAAAAAGACCAAGTCTAAGAAACCAGGCAGGTTTACCTGGTGGCAAAATTTCACATCTGCAGCCAAAAAGCCACGCCTGAGCTACTCAAAAGCCGAGAAAGTCCTGTATAACACAGCCCCAATCACATGGTCCTTGGCATCTCCCCCCAAGCTTTAATGACTGGGGGAGACGTACTTTAAAAATCTCAACATCAAACAAGGAAAATCCCAATGTTAAAATACATTAATACCCCAGCGCCATCTGAACCCTCTGTACCAGGATCAGATCTTGTGACGTCTCTGGTCAGGGCATAAAATATTTACAACATGGCTAAAGGCACAGTGGCATTTGAAAAGAAAACCCTGGGAATGTACAATAAAAGATTCATTGTAATCATTAACCTGACTTCCCCAGGCAGGATGGACTCTTGCCAGATAACAGGCAAGGGAGACGGGGGATTCGGAGCCTGGGCACCGGCTCTCAGGCACACCGAGTCCTCGGCCTTGGGAGCGGGCAGAAACAGATTCACAAAAATGTCTCGGTGCCGGAGGCTGACGACTCACATCTTTCCTGCTTTTTTGCCGACCTGCGAGGGGACCCGGAGGATGTTGGGGGTCTCCTCCATGACCCGGACCAGCAGATTGTCGATGTAGTCTTCCAGCTGGCGAACCTGAGACTCCTTTTTGCTGATTGTTTCTTTCTGCCTGAGGACCAGCTGGATCAGCTCATCGTGGGTCAGCTGTGCGTAAGCAAAGGCAGGGTCCGAGGGCTTGTATTTCTTTGGAGAGGGGAGAAGTAGGGAGGAAAGTGATAAAGTCAGCAAAGTCAAACAGCTAAAAGAAATATGTAAGAGGTTTCTTAGTGACTAAGTCTCCTGGGAATTCGTTTTTGATTTGGGTGGAAAATGGGTTGTTGGCTGATGAAGTTTTCTGTAAAGGGCCTTTTATTCCTTTAGACTTGCTGAAGGCAGACATTCATGGGGTCCCCCTTCTAGACCTCCATGATTCTACTGGTGATTTCCCAGAGTCTTCAACCAAAAAGTTGCATGTCTGGGAAAGCACTCTGGAGACTGGTTGTACAACAATAAGAATGTACTTAACACGGCTGAAATGGACACTTAAAAATGGCTAAGAGGGTACATTTCGTGTTGTTTATTTTATCACAATTATTTTTTAAAGCTGCCTGTTTGCATAGCCTATCAAGAAAAAAAGCAGTCTTCATAAACAAAAGTCAAGAATTTGTCCTCAGGGGTTCTCAGATTATACATCAGTTATCAGAAGATTTTATTTATTCAGAAATGTTGATTACGTAAGATGGTCTGCAGGAGAGTTAAGGAGATGGGAAGAAGCAGTTGTCACCTGAAGGGAGCGGCAGGCAGGTGGTCCTCGAGAGGCGAGGCCAGGTCCCCACAGTGCCCGCCACACCTGGGGCTTCACCTGAGGTTCCAGGGGTTGGGGCCCAGAGAGGGACGACATGCCCCTGGTGCTGGACAACCAAGAGGCCACGGCTACCCAGGTGCTTGGGACAAGCCCCAAAGATGGAGTGGCATCTGAGCTAGACACTGGAGATGAATTAAAATTAATCTTCCCCTCCAAGTAACAGGATTTTGTTTTAATTTACTCATCATGGAAAAATCTCAAATCCAGAAAACGGAAAATATTATTACCCATAACTCCAACACCTAACATTTGGGTCTCTTTCTTATTTTTCCTGAGTTTCTTTAGGATATTTTTTACAACTTTACCATCATACAGAATCAAGTTTTATAGCTTTTTTAAAACGATTATTTTGTGAGCATTTTCCCACTATTAAATTTTAGAAAAATTGCCTTTTAAATGGACGTGTAAAATTCCATTATATTTTAACCGTCTCTCTGTTGCTGGATATTTAGGTTGGTTTCAATTTTCATAATTACATAATAACATACTTATTTAAATGCATGAACATAAACTTTTGGTCATATCCCTAAATATCGTCTTAAGGCAAATGCATAGAATTGAAAAGGCTTGTACACTTGAGGAACTTCCTACAAACTGTCAAACAGCTATTCAGTTTGGATTCTGTAATCTAAAGAGGAAAGTATGTAGGACTTTGAAATCATTGGTAGTTCCTATTTTTGTGATGACAACTAAAAAATTAAAAAGCAATCCAACAATTACAGAAAGTGAGCAGTGGCCGTGGAGAGGAAGAGGTGCACAAAACATGCCCATTAAATCAAGAAACAACAGGGCCCATTGTCACATATTTCCTTCCAGGATTTTTACACTGGATTTTTCCCCCATAGTTGTACTAATAATGACGTATATTCAAATTTGTATCCAACTTCTCCCATATAATATGACAGATGATTTTTGGATCTAGTTGGCTGTATTATTTTCAAATGGAAGTGCTGAAGCCACCTGAATAAATAATACATTCCTAGTTATTAATCATCTATAAAGGATGGCGGCCCTGAAACAATAACCAAAAAAAAAAAAAAAGACATTATAGCAGTGATTCAGCTAGCTTTTCATAACTTCAGCTATGCAATTTCTTTTCTGAACCTCTCTCTTTGCGACATTCCAAAGAGTAGTTATTTTTATAAATACTGTTTGTGCCTTAGTACAAAGCCTCTATTCTATGGCCGGCCAATAGCGATCTCCAGGAACCTTTCCATTTTGACTCAGAATATTTACTAGCTATGGTCCAGGACCAACCACCCGCTTTGCTGCAGCCAGGCAGAGGGGCAGCAGGCGGGCACAGAAACTGTGAGCAAAATAAGCAGCAGTGGCCTTTGTTTTAAGGCAAGTTACTGTCTTGGTCAGGGCTGGGAGATAAGCCCCTGGTTAAATGAGCTTTGAAGAGTAAACAGAATGGGAACCAAGGGTCTTCTTGCTCACTTCCCGAAAGCTAGGTGTTTGTTTCTCTTTGGAGCCAAGCTGCATTCCACAGTAAAAGGAAGAGGGCAGAGGAGGCTGCCGAGTGACTCCAGTTTTCGGTATTGTCCTTTCCATGCTGTTCTACCCAGTTTCCTGGTAAATATCGTTAACCCCGGGAAGGCAAAAGCTGCCTGTTCCACACAACCACAGAAGCCAGCCAAGCCGAGCTGATGCAGTTACAGTCCATTTTTCGGCTTGGGCTAAAATATAGTAGGTACACAGTTCTGGCTACAGCTGATCATCATTTTGAGAATGATGCTGATCAACGATGCCCTGTCAGTAGGCACCACAAGGGAAGAGAGAGCAAGGCTGCCAGAAGACGCTAACTTGTTTTCAGCAACAGTTTGTTAGCATGACTCAGCCTCTCCACCCGAAACTCAGGTCTCGGAAACTCAGATCTCCGGCTTTCAGTGAACCTTCAGCCCAGCTCCTGGAGGCAAAGGTGGAACGGAGCCAGAGGCATTAACCACCACCCAACAGTTAAAAAATGCTTGTAGGGAGTGGGGGAGGGAAATAGTTCAGTGATAAGAGTGCCTGCTTAGCATGCACAAGGTCCTGGGTTCAATCCCAGTCCCTCCATTAAAAAAGAAAAAAAGCTTGTAGGAATGAAGGAGACATGAGCGAAGTTTCATTTTAAAAACACAAAAACTCTGCGATGTCCTAGAATCCATGGAAATGTAAAATCTGATTGAATGAAACTTTCAGATGCCCAGCACTATAACAGAAATAAAGTTTATGTCTACCAACTGCAGTACCCAGCGGTCAGTTAGGAAATTCCTCTCCGCGTGTTTGAAACACATCTTTGCTCGTTAATGGTCCCCAGTTACTCAGTAAATCATTCTCCTCCATCCATGTGACAATGAGTCAAAGACCAGAGGTGTGTAACAAGGCACAACTCTAAATCCCTCTGATTTTAGAACCAGAAAGGGCAGGATGAAGACACGCCACAGCAGAGAGCACCTGGGGGGTTGGTTTTGTTAATGTTCGTCATCCAAGCCTTTTAAAGAGAAGGAATCCTCTAACTGAGCAATATTCTTCCTGGAAATCTAGCTTAAGGAAATAATCTACAAGAAGGGAAAAGATCTATGCAAGCAATTGTTGACTACAGTGTTATTCATATTGAAAAACAGAGAACAAGCTAACAATAACCGGGGAGTGGGTGATGGCATAACCATTTCAAAGAATAATTAAGTAGCAACATGCAGAAATGTTTCTGATCTAATACTAAGTGAAAAGGAATCTCAGAGTGTTTACATGCAGGTGATGGAGCTGGAAAATCACCATTTTGCAACTACCATATTCACCAGCAGACAGCAATGGAGAAAGGCTGATAAGGAACAGGATGTTTACATGGTCTGAAATTAATTCCCCCCACACTTCTTACTCATCGTTAAGGGAAGAAATAGCAACTTTGCCCTGAAGAAACTAGCGGACACCGCCTGAACTAAGTCATCAGAGTTAACACCCCACTAATGGGACAGGCTGGTGTCAGGGGCCTCTTTACACGAGACACTGAGAACATTATTTCTATGGTTAATTCCTGCCAAAAATGCACAGCCTTGACCAAACCACGAGGAGACATAAGACATTTCATATTTAGGTGTAAAAGGAGCATGATGTATGCAACTTACTCTCTAGTAATTCAGAAAAAAATATGTACATAGATACAAAGAGAATGGAGAGGGAGAAGGTGAGAAAACAAATCTGTTGAAATGTCAACAACTGGTGAATTGGGGTGAAAAGCACACAGGAGTTCTTTGTACTATCCTTGCAACATTCTTAAAGTTACAAAAAAGTCTATCTATGTAATGATTACAGTATAAGAATTTTACTTTGTTGCCAAGAGGAGAAAAACGCGTGGGAAAATGAACGTATCTGATATGAATGGGCCGGGGGTGGTAGTGGTGGTGATGCTTTCCTCTTGTTAAAAAGAAGTCCTGGTGTCAATCATGTTGCTTGAGACTCAAAAAAAATCCAGCGGCTGCCAAATAACTACAAGGGGAAAAGTAAGCATCCAGTGGAAAGTGCAGGGGCTTCCAGAGATGATCCAGAGACAAGAGGCATATGGTTAAGTCACTCCCAGCATGACCTGCTGCCCCAGGAGATGTGTGTAACGGTGGGTCTGACGGTGTGTGCTGTCGATCCCTAACTAACACGCCTGCTTCTGCAGAAGACGTACCTTCATCATGGCTTCGTTGATCAAGTTCTCACTGATGATGGTGGCAGTTCCCAAGCTGGAGTTCGCAACCTTGGTGGCTGTCGTGTTCATCGGCTTCACAGGATGAGGTCTAAAGAGAAGGGGACAGAAGTTTTAGACGTGTCTGTAACGGCAGAGCCCGGAGACGGCCCAGCTCCTGGGGGCAGCCAGCAGGAGCGGTGGCGGGGGGGGCGTGGGGACATGCCGCACTGGCATCTCCGGTCCCTCACACGCCAGCATTCCTTCAGAAGTGAGAGCCGTCAGCACCAAGCAGCCACACGCAAGCCAACAAGGCACGCCTTACAGCCGGGTGTCCTGACCTTCTCACAAGACCCGTGGTCTTGTTCTCAACGTCAGGAGAACAGCGGTGGTTGCCAGTGGCAGGGACGTGGGTGGTGGAGATGAAGGTGGGTCAAAAGGCACAAACGTCCAGTTATAAGTAAGTTTTGGGATATAATGTAAAAAGCACGATGGCTATGATTAAAATACTGAATCAGTTTTTCAAAGTTGCTCAGAGTGAGTCTTAGAAGTTCTCATTACAAGGAAAAAAAAATCTGTGACTCTGGGAGGCAGTGGATGTTAACTGAACTTGTGATCATTTCACAATACATACAGTTATCAAATCATCACATCATACACATTAAACTTATCAACTTTCTATACCTCATTCAAACTGGGAAAAAAGAAAGAAACAAAGGAAGAAGAAAGAGTTCATAACAAACATGCCTGCTTTCCACTGGGCGGTGGTTAGAGCAAGATTTCAGCACTGCTGGGCTCTCCCACCCAACGTCAGCTGGTTTCTGAGACTCTAAAATAAACGAGTGGTCACGGTGCTTCTCTGCGATAAGAGCTCCAAATCAGACCGTGCAGAACGAGCCCGAATCTATCTTTGAAGATGACTGCTACTGTGTTCTTGCTACAAAGTTCCTGCTGCAAACGCAGGGGTATCTTGTGTTGTCCCCAGCCCAGGGGACAGCCCTTCCAGCCAAACAGGGGGGATGGACCATCAGAACAGCTGCAGACAAGAAGCAAAGGGGAGGGTGCTGGTAACATTCAGGAGGACGGTCTCCCCGACTCTCACCTGTGCTTGGCTGACCCCGATCCAGCGCTTGGCTGAGCTGAGACCGGCTGTGTCTCTGAGGGTGAGACCCAGGCCTGAAGAAGCGGCTTCCTCTTGCCAGAATTTTCCACTTTACCCGCGGAGCCCTCTGCTGTTGCTTTTTTTTGAGATTCTGCTGTATTGGTGTGGTGGGTGTCAGAGTGTGGAGAGCTGGGGGGAGGGTGTGTGGCAGGAAAGGGCTCAGGAAAAGGGGTGCTGGCCCCAGGGGGAGCCAGGGTGGCAAGAGGCTGACCTGGCCTCCCATTTCCCACGGGTTTTGCCTCCTCGCCATCACCAGGGCCCCGCGGCTGTTCATCCAAGTGAGAGCTCTCGCCAAGATGGGGCTCATGAACTGCTGGGGCTGGAGTCTGCTCTGGGGAAGCTGGGACAGGTGCCCTGGGCGCTGCCCATCTGGGGTCCTGCAGGCTCTCTGCTGACCTGCTGGCCTCTCCGCTGGGGCTTTTCTCCATCTCAGGGCGAGTGGGCGAGGTGCTCCGAGAAGAAGCCCCTCCTCCCAGAGCCGCCACCTTGGCTGGACCCCTGTTGTCTTCATCCTGATCCACTCTCTCATCATCTGATGCGACTTCGGGGATGGAAGGAAGGGTCAGGTCCAGATGGGCCATAACTGGGGGCTTCATCTCGCAGGTTGACTGGAGGCTGCACGGGGGATCAGGCAGCAGACCTTCGTGGTCACTGGCTTTGCTCTGGTTCCGAGCCATCCAAGTGTCGTCTCTCTCAGTCCTAAAGAGAGGACTGTCTCTCCCCGAGCTGGCCGTGCGTGTGGGGCCGTCTGAGAAACCCCCCTGGGAGGATAGGAGGGGAGGGCGACCCGCCAGGGAAGCGGGCCCAGGCTCAGCCACAGCCTCCCTCTTCTGTGACTCTCCTGCATCCCACGTATTTCCAGGGACAGCCCCTTCTCGAATTGGCCCCTGGGGGTCCCCTCTGTCCCTGTGGATGAGCGCAGGGGCCTCCTCCACCTCCTCTTCCATAAAGAGCTTCTCGGAAAACGATACCCACTTCTGGATCTTCTCTCCACCCTCACTAGCATCCAGACCCATCTCTTCCCATCTCTGCATCTCCGAGTCGAGTGAGGGGACCAACTCTCCCAGGGGAAGGGCGGCTGCTGCTTCTTTAACTGCAGGACTCACCCTGCCATCTCCGGCGGTGTCCCCCACAGGTGACCTAGACAGACCCTCTGAGTCTGTGTCCTTCCCCATCAGAGGCTCCCCTGTGAGGCTTTCAATCCTGCCTCTTCCAAGAGAAAGGGCAGATGTTACTTCTCCAGCCTCTTCAGATGAAGGGATGTCACCTTGCTGTTTTTTGGGGGGAATCCCCAGAAGCTCTTCTTCTTGCCCCATATCAGGCGGTGTCAGGAAAGACTGTTCTGGGTCATTCCGGCTGGTCTTCCCCATGGGAGAATCTTCCATTCCTTTACCCACCGGAACAGGGGGCTGTTTGGGAAGTGAGCCCTTGGTCCAAGAAGCAGTATCTGGATCTTGTATTAAGCTCTCCTTTTGCGGCTCTGGTTTAAGAAGCGAAGGTGGTTCTTCAGAACTGGCTTGGCCAGTGTCTGTGGACAGCCAGTTTTCAATCGGAGTGGACGTGGAGATGGGGGCTACTATGGGGGATGAGAAAGAGGAGGAGACAGAAGGAGACTGAGGGGACTGGCTCTCTGAATCATGCCCCGGTTTAGACAGGACAGGTGTCTGATCAGAACTGGAGGAGAGAGCAGAGAAAGAGAGAGCAGGGCCGGGGCGGGGAAGGAGGCGGGGGCGGGGTGTGGGCTGACCCTCTGGAGACACGTCCAGTCTGCAAAAAGGACAAAATAAAACCTGCAGGTCAGTTGCAGACGCAACGTGAGAGGCAAAAAGAACATGTAAAAATAAAGGTTTTCGAAAGGCGAGAACTTTTTTTTTTACACTGGGGGCAGTATCTTGAGAAGCTAGAGGAACACCAGTGCTTAACCCACAAAAGGCACACTTTTATCACCAAGCACGGCTGCCACAGAAAGGTCTGTGGCAACAGAAACAAAAGGATCCAGGCAAAGCAACAGTCTACAGTCTCGTCTGGTGATAAACAAAAAGCATCTAAAAAGTGCAAAGTCATATAAGGCACACCACAAGGCAACAGGCAGACTTTGAAGATAAACAGTGTGTGTGTGTGTGTGTGTGTGTGTGTGTGCGTGAAATCAAAGTAGGCAGAATCTCAAAAAAAAGCCTCTCCCACCCTAGACCACAGGAATATCGTGTGAATGTGAGTCATGCTGAGAAACAGAACCGCCAAGGCTCTTGCGACAAGGCGCAGAGTAAACACACACTGAGAACCCTCAAGGGTCTCTCAGGCCAGCAAACCCACACCAAAGTGCCAGGAGGAAAGTCTACATCTGCCCCGGAGGGACGGTAAGAGCTTCATAAACCCGGTTCCGCAAATACCACTGCTGAAACCTGGTCTTTCCCGACGGCTACAAGACCCAGGCGTTCCACTGTGGCCTGATTATCTCACTGAGATGGACAAACCAGTCCCAGGTACTTTTGCCAGAAGCAAAAATGTTTGCCGAGAAAACGCTTGCGGCAAAGATGATTACACCTGGGAGATGCCGGACTAGGGACAGACCACACCTGCAGTGGCTCGGGGTGGGGACACGTCACTGCAGTCCGTGCGGGTGGACCCGGCTGGCAGCAGGGACTGGCTGAGAAACAACTCAGACTTCTACCCGGACCACCATGGACCAACAAGCAAGGCCTGCCCTAATGTAGGCCAGGCTGCGAGGCCAGAGGGAGGGGCCGAGACTTACCGGGGTTTCACAGCTCTGGTCTGGGGAGCCCTTGGCAAGGCAACTGGTGGTGCAGGTGGAGACTCGGGCTGTGGGTCAGCTTCAGGTTCTGGGATCTGCACATCTTCAAAGGGGTTCAGGGATCTACCTCGTTCGGAGACAACAGCCGCCGGCTCTTTCTCTGACCTCCTCCCAAGGTCTTCAGCTGGCCCCGGCCTGTCCTCCCGGGGTTTCGCCCCCGAGGGCGGGCCTTCCTGCTCCTTCCTGGGGGCAGCAGACGGGCTTTCACCCTCACTGCCCTTGGCTGCGTCCTTCCTCCCCGTCACCAGGGAGAGCAGAGAGGACTTCTTGTTCTCCTGTTTCTTGCTCTCTTTGGTTTCTTTCGCAGCCTCCAAGGTCGCTGGAGCAGTGTTCTCCCGAAGGTCCGCGCTGCCCCTTGGCTGGTAGGATGGCAGAGTCATGGACTTGAAAGAGTCCTTTGTGGAAGACTCAGAAGACACGACACCTCCCTCCCCAGACTCTTTCCAAGGCCGAGTGGCCAGGTTTTCCGTAGAGGAGAACAAACGCTTCTTCCTGAAGCCCTGGGGGGACGGGGAGGAGGACGGAGAGCTGTCCTTGGTCTCACTCTTGGCTTCAGGCTGCTCCACGTAGACGTGGTTCCCGTTGATACAGACGTTAGAGCGGGAAAGGACGTCATTCTTTGACCGAAGGCCGCCCAGGAAGGAGAGCCCTTCCTTCTTGGGGAGGCTGAAGTTGATCTGGTTCAGCTGCTTAGGATCCTCACTGGCTGTTCTCTTGTGAGACAAGACTGTGGGGAGAAGTGAAAAGTCAGGGGGATGGGTCACAACTGGAGGGGGCGAGGCTTTTGCCTGCATCTGAGAACATTTTTGGCTGTCACAGCTGGGGTGGGGGGTGTGCTGCGGGCATCAGCAGGTGGAGGCCAGGGTGCTGCTAAAGATCCTACAGTGTACAGGGTGGCTCCCACGACAGAGTTATCCACCCAAACTGTCAATGTGCTGAGGCTGAGAAACCCCGCGTGGAGCCAAGGAAAAGGGCAGCGCTCTTGATAGAGGCACAGAACCTGGCCAATAGCAGGGATTTGGTGGTTGAAACTGAAGTTCAAAATACACAGTTAGTTCAGAGTTAAAGGAACTGGATTCCTCAGCTTTCATTAGGGATGTATCCCATGGATGCTCAATATAAATACCCGATGAATTAATGAAATATCAGAATTACCGTCAGGTTCCATGGTTTCACCTTTAATAATAAAAATACTCCTGAATGGATTCATTCTGCTAGCTCCAAAAGCTTGTACTAGTGCACGTCAGTTATAGAGCCAGACATTATAGAAAAGGCATTTACACAGAAACCAGAGGGTTAGAAATAGAGAAGGCTTCCTAACCAGGATTACCCATCACTACCACCACTACCATCATCACCACCACCATCACCATCATCAACCATCACCATCACCATCATCATTTTAATAACTGAAGGGCTGAATTAGCATCTTTCTCTTAAGATCTGTTTGTTTCTTCTCTCCCAAAGCAAAGTAAGCTAAGCTGAGAGAGAGACCACGTAAGAGGAAGGAGGAGGAAACTCACCATCTGAGGCGGAGGATGACTCATCCTCGTCATCATCCTCCCACCGGGACTGAAAGTCTCCAGGACGAAGCAGCACTCTGTCTGACTTTGAAGTGGGCAGGACAGACATGGACTGGGAGAGCGGCGTTTTCTGCAGGTTGGACTTGGAAAACAAGGTCTTGATCCTTGACTTCTTCTTCTTGTCTTTGGAAGGAGACTCGTCATCGCTGTCCACCACGGGCGCCACACTGGGGACAATGGCTGATGCGGTATCTGACGCGCTGTCCTTGTTCTTCGCCTTGATCTTGTCCTTTAGTTTCCCAAATGGATTCCGAGACTTGTCTTTCACGGAGAGGTCAAACATGCTAGCGGTCATGTTGTTTCTCATAAACTGGATGTCAACCTCAATTTCTCCTCGCTCTTTATCCTTCTTTCCTGGTTTGGATTTCAAGGTATACCACCTACAAGGAGAAAGGCTGGGAGGTCACCTTCGAACTGAAGGGCTGCCACAGTGTTCACAGCCCCCCTCCCCCATACAGACGCAGCCCAGCCTCTCTTCTTTGTGGGGGGAGGAGGACATAACTTGCAGCTTTACTTCTGAGAAGACACCCCCTGGGCAAAGATGGGATCTGACCCTCTACTTAGGGTGCAGTCACCTAAAATCTTGATTCAGTAACGAGGTATTTCTAAGAACAAAATAAACATTCCATCAGATCACTTCCTATGACTGGTTTTTTCCTTCAATGTAGGAAAAATGCAAAGATCAACACACAGTTAAGGTACAATGCAAGTCTACAACTGCATCTCAGAGGAAAGTGAGAGTTGGTTGAACAGTCCCTGCCAGGGAGTGATGGAAAATATAAGACAGAGTTAAAAAAAATATTTATTAAAGTAAAAGAAGTGAAAGAAGCCAGTCACAAAGTGACAAGCGTTGTATGGTTCCGCTCATGCGAGGTGCCTGGAGCAGTCAAGAGACAGAAAAGAGAATGGTGGTTGCTGGGGTGGGGTGGGGAGTCAGTGCTTAATGGTCATAGGGTTTCAGTTGGGAAAAGAAAAGTTTTGAAGATGGACGGTGGTGACAGTTACACAGCAATGTGAGTATACCTAATGCACAGAACTGTATGCTTAAAAATGGTCAGAATGGCCAATTTTGTTATATGTGTTTTAACACAATAAGAAAAAATGAGAAACTGACAGGAAGAATCTGCCCTTAGCTTAATAATCAGCAAAAAGAATATTTCAAGCACTATTCAAGTACTTCTCTTGGTCATTTGCAAACCATGTGACAACAAGGCAAATGATAATATATCAGCCCAAATCCACTGAAAGACAAACCAGAGAAAGGAAACCTTCCCGTGTTATTTCCACCCAGTGGCCTGCAAGGACGAGCCTGTGAGTAGCCCGGCCTCCAGAGAGCCAACAAGTCCAAGCACACAGTCTACCCACGGCCACCCCGGGTCACCCTCACACCGAGAACCCACATTCTGATGCTCTTTTCAGTGACCTAGTTTAGAGCTGAGGGCCGTGGACTTTAAGGAAATGATGGTTTTGCCCAAAGAAGCAGGATTTCCTCCTTCACCTCCAGCCTGTCTTGCTCACAGGGCAGATCGCTGCCCCCACTATCTGAGCTCACCCTACACTTAAAGGGGAGCAGAAGCACACTGGGAAATACCCTCCTTCAAGTCTCACAAGAATGACTTGAAGTCGCTGTTACACCCACTCTGCAGATGAGGCAATCGAGGCTCACAAGTCAGGGATCTAGTACAAGGTCTTGCCACTGTTAAGGGCACACAGCCAGGGTTCTGCGCCAGCTCTGCAGCTTCTCCAAAGGTCCCTTCCCTCACACCGAAACTCCTGCCCTGTGTTCTCTCCTAACTCACCCTTGCTGACCACCCCCTTTACAACACTCAGGAAAGAGGGCTGAAATTTAAATTCTTTCTAAGGAAGGTTTAAGCTTCAAAGTTGTGCCCTAAAATAACAGATGGGGGGAAAGCCCACTGTAGCTGGCATCCACCATAACTCTTAAGGTTACACGTAAAGTCCAGTATACAAAGTCATCAAGAAGGACTTGAATTGGATTAACAAAATACAGCCAAGATCTGAAAAAATGATGTGAGCTACGATTTTGGACCTCTAGGAGAAATCTTTTATGATTTTTAAAACTACCGTCCACAGCTGGAGGCGGGGGAAGATGCAGACAGACTCACCCCGCCAGCCAGCCCAGCCGAGGGTCTTTCCAATACATTTCCCAGGGCCCAGCCTGGCACAGTTTGCATATTTGTCACTTAGATGTTGAGAGGATTATTTGTATCTTTCTCTTCTGACAGTCATGTGCTGAACGGTAGCCTTGGTGACGAGTGGTGGTTCGCTTCTGTAAATACCAATGGTAAGCACCTGAAAGGGGGAAGTTGCTGAAAGCTGAATGCGGAGGCTCAGATGACCACACTAGCCACAAGCAGAGAGCCTCACCTCTCTACCCAGGGGCGGGGCATCGGTCAGGGCCTTCTCCCAGCTCTTCCACACAGCCTTTCTGTTCGCCCTCCCAGGGGACGAAAAGACCTTCAGAGAATGCCACTTGCCAGTTCCCGGAAGGGCCGCCTTCCCCAAAGTTTCGGCACCAAAGTCTGTTTATTTTGAACAAAGCTGTAACCAACTCCTGGATCCTCCTGGGGGCCTGTTATCACCTGATGTACCAGTTCAATCCCTGGGCAGCAGAGGGGGATTTGTTTTGGAAACTTCTAACACCACTAGGAGGTGTAAACAGGCACTTCGGACTGTTCCTGTTGCTTATTTTCACAAGCAAACCTAAAACCAAAGACCAGGTGGCCAAGAACAGCCACAGGGCTGTTTAAGGATGTGAACAGCAGATGGAATCACAGGCAGGTAAGCAGCCCATGTGAATCTGTGCTGGATTTATTAAAGCTGGAAAGGAAGGCAGGAATTCTTCCAGCAATACTATCCTGATCATTAAATTCAAACAGCGTAAGCAAGGAGGCTTTGACACAAGCATAACTTGATAATCTGTGAAAGCCACGATCCGTAAATATCTCACCCTAAGAAATTCCAAACCAGAACATATTTGTGGGTTTCAACATTTAAGCACTGGTTCAAATTTTAAGTGTTTCTGTCCATTTGACTTTCAGTGTGCCTTACGGAAGTATTTTATAAATAATCAGGTCCCAGGTACGGCCACACAGCATGTGATGGCAGGGGTGGGTGTGTCCCAGCTCTACCCAGAAAGCTTGCATTATCTCAGAAATCTGGGCTGGGTTTTTCAGTACAAAGGGCAGAGTACAGAAAGCAAGCCATAATCCCAATGGAGCAAGTTGATTTTTAAGCCCATATTTTAAAAAGAAAATTCCTGCAACCTCTCAAAAAAAGGAAAAAATAAAATGACCCCTTCTATAAGCAAATAATCATTTTTACTTAGAGTTAAAACTCAGTTCTTCCAAAATGAAAAAAGGATCTCTGAATACATAGAAAGTAACAGGAAACGTATACCAACTGTGTTTGAAAGTAGTAACAGGCTAAGGGTAAAAATTCAAATCATACAAAATGATTCAGAAGGAAAACCTGTCTTCAGACCCCTCCATGTCCCTCAGTCAAGTGAGGATCTTGAGAATATACGTACAAGTCAAAATGCATATTATCCAAACAGGCTGCCTTACTGTTTGGGAGTTCTTTGGGTTTTGATTTTTTTGGTCAAACACAAGACAACTACTGCTAAAAATATAGGAAAATTCACTTAAGTCTTCCACACTTTCAGAAAGATGTCTTATTAAGAACAGCAAGGGGATGTAATAAAGAACGAGCTGGGTACGGGAAGGAAGCCACGCAGGACACAGGACACGGGATCTGCCTCCCGAGTGGCCCCAGCTGGAGAACCAGTGCCTGGAACTACGCTGTCAAATCTGCACTTTTAAACAGTCATTTTGAGAACAGCTAAAACCACCCAAGCGTGCCCCATGCTCAGGGCTGGTTTGCCTCTGAATGTCTGTTTCTCAGCACGAGGAAGCTGATCCCGGGGGCCTTCCATCAGAATGTGACAGTCAGGGCCGTGTGGTTCCTGCCACTGGGAAATGAAAGGTCTCACGGTGCATCCCTGCGGACATGCGGGATTACACTTGTGAAGGACTGACTGGTACGCCTGCAGCTGAAACAAACATGTTTTCCCTTTGAAACATTCCAGAGGGTAGACGCAGACAGAAAAAATGATGGCTTCAAAGATTCCAGACACAGAGAAATGATGGCTTCAAAGATTTGGTTCAAATGTTTTTTACATGGTAGGCACTGTTAATAAAAATGAAGAGGTCAGAATTTTTTTTTTTCTTACGGAAAAAAAAAAGGAAGAAACAAAAATTGAAGAGGCCAGATTCTGCCCTGAAGAGCTTACCCACCAGTGGAATGGGGAGCAGGCTCACCAAACATCCCAGAGGGTTTGCCACATTGAAACAACTGCTGCTTTTTCTTCCTGACTATGAAGCATGAGAAAATAATTAGACATGAAAAGAAACTCCTGCTAAATCTTACAGTTTCATCACAAATACGGACTCACACACAAAGGAGGTTCTCAGCTAATTTAAATCCCCAGGGGCTCTAAGAACCACTTACTTGGGGACTCAGTAAAATGAATTAACACTGTACCCTCCCACTGGACACAGGAGGTCCAGGAAAGACACGGCAAAGGAAGACCATCAGCTCTACGAGTCACTTCATCTTTACGTGTTAGTGTTCATTTCAAGGGATCCTCGTCCACGGGTCCAAAGTCAGTGGTGGACTGCCTCTTTCCCTTACTGTGCAAAATCTCAACCATGACTTGTCGCATTAGTTCGCCCCACGGTAACCAAGCTTCGTGGCCCAGGGGATGATGGCCTCAGGTGAGGAAGGAAGCAGGAAGAACAGAGCAGCACCTGAGTGTAGTGTTTGAGGTGGAGGACGCACTCGATCTTTCTTAGATGGAGAAATTTAAAAAGCCAGTTCATTGTTTTCTCCGGGGAATAAAATAAGGCTGCAAGTCACGTGGGGTTGGCAGATGAGAATATGTACAGGGGGTTCTGAAAGGGAGTGATTGCACATGGGGAAAAGGCCCAGCCTCTTCTCTTGGTAGCCTAGAAGCAATGCGTAGCAAACAGGGACAGAGGTGCTTATGACCTATAAAATATTTGTGGTGTGCACCCTGCAGAAGCTAAGCAGTCTAACGAGTTTTGTTATTGACCCAGGTAGCTGGTCCTCATTACCTAACTCTGAATACAGAATCATCAGTCAGCCAGCTTTGCCTCCTGAGGTGGACCGTCTCCTCTGCCCACTGTCAGCTACTTGCTGGTAGAACTTGAGGGTTGCAAATGGCTCCTTTTTCACCCTAAACCCTAAAACAGCCATTCTGACAGCACTGAAAGGCTATCTGTAGCCACCAAATTCGATCCTAAAAGGCTGGTAAATGACATGGTAAAGAAGAGATGACAGAAAAAGCAGGTTGAAAG